TTGCTGATTACGACTTTTTTCCCGTAAAAAAAAAAAAATATTTTACAACCTCCGCAAACGTAAATGGAACGAGATTTTGGTTCATCTCCCCCCTTTTTGAAAAAAAAAATATCCAAAAAATCTTCATTTCGCTTTCATTTTGATGTTCATGTAAATGTGTATGGATGGAAGGGATGTTCATAAATGACGTTTTAGCAAAATCTTATTATCGACTGTTATTCAACACCAAAATACGTTCTAGAGTGGGTTTCTGGGTATTTATTATTCCACTTTTGGACATTACAGGCTAAAAAACTCAATCCATGACACATATCAATTCCATCATGTCTTTCTGAAGCATACTGTGCCATCTTGAGAAATAAATGAAGGAGAAGTCGTACCATTTACTTGCTCCTTTCATTCTTGTTAATGATCTTGAGCTAGAAAGCACTCCATACTGAGAATTAATTAAGATGAAAGTTGGACATCATTTACAATCGACCCCACATATAGGTTTTAAAAAGGTAAACTTTATGATGTTGTTTAGTGACATTGCTTTTATGCTGAGGTTTTAAAATTTTGTTTTACTTCTCCTATCCCTCTCACTTACTTTCAGTTTTTTTCACATAAAAAGTATTTTTTTTGTCACGAGGGTCGTTTAAGCATGACATGTTGTTTTTTTCTGCATTTATTTTTTTAAAAAAATTTTCTCCTTTAGTCGTTCATTCTTTTCACATTCAATTTCACTTTAGCCTCATCTAGTGATTTTTTATGATAAAACTAGGAAGTTACTAGGAAGTGTAAGCAATTGAATAGCTTTTGACGCATTTAATATTGTATCCTGAGTTCAGGAACAGATGATTAAATTAAGAAAATGCTAATTGATGTCAATAAGGATGAGTTTTCTAGGATGTTCTACTAGATTGGTGTGAAAGTGACATCTGAGAGTGGTCAATAACCTATTTGAAGATGAGATTGTGAAAAGGAAGAATCACAAAGCATTTATTTTTGAAGTAAAAACATATCCTCGTAAAAAAATGTCAATGAGATCTTAAAATTAGAATCAAAATGAATTAAACAAGTTTGTTCTAATTTTATGAGCAGCTAGCTTCTAAAATCAAACATTTTTATTTTACATATAATTACACATCAACATAACTACATATCAATACACATCAATTAATTATCATTTTACATCAACTACATATCAGTTCACATCAATTTCATATCAATACACATCAATTAAATATCAATTAACATCAATTACATATCAATACATATCAATTACACATTAGTTTTATATAAGGTGACCATCTGCGTAGTTTTACAACGGACAGTCCTGTATTTCAAAACTCTGTCCTGTATAAATTTGAAAACTTTGTTCCGGGTCCTGTATTTTTTTCACGAAAATTTCCGTTAATTTTCGAATTTTACTCTATGTCCTGTATTTTTCGAAAAAAATTTCCAAAAGTCCTGTATTTTCATAAAAATTAGATGGTAACTCTAGTTTTATATCAAAGAACTCAACAATCCAGACAAAATACAAACAATCTATACAATTTCCCGCCAAAACTAGTTTCAAAGTACACATCATCTAGCTTATGCTAAAGCTCATAAGTTTTAATCCCGTGAGCAAAATTCCATTCATTTCCCTGTTCCATCCTCTCCCCTTTTATTATAATCCACATTTTATATGCATAACCGCTATAGATAGTGAAGATGATGCTATGACAAAAAAAAATTATGATAAAGATTCTCAATCTATAAAGTATGTAATTGCACTTTTAAAGTCATACAAATTTTTTACTAATAATACTACAAAGTGCTTACTTTTTCATTTCTCATGGGGGAAAAGTCGTCGTCTTAAGTAAATGCAGGATGGAGGGAGGTATAGTGTAAGAAGATATAGTACAGAAAAAAAGAGAGTCATAAAAACTTAAATTCAATTTCCTTGTTCCTTCAATGAGAAACTTTTCTTTTTATGAATATCTCTCGAATGCATAGTAATTTCCTTCCTTCACTTAATCCTCTGTCTAGGGATAGAGATAAAAGTATTTTATACATCGAGAGTGGTGACATTTTTTTCTTCTGTTCCTTCTGTAATAGGAGGTTGGGTCACAAATGATGTCCATGAGGTTAGATTTACAAGGAATTTATGCCAAAGCTGGCTCCACAATTTTTAATATAAACTGGAACCAATTTTTCAGGTACACTTTGGAATCCAATGTTTGAATTATAGTTAGAGCCTACCATGGATATGCACGAGAATAGGTTGAATATCCATTTGGCATAAGGTTGAAAAATGTTGAGTTTCTCTTTAAATCAGACCTTGATAATTCCAGCCATCTTTCCATTTTCTTAATTACTGGACATCACCGACAAATGACACCCGAAATTCTTCTTCTTCCCTTTTCTAGCCGATAAAAATGTAAAACTTCTCTTGCTTATCGTTCGTCTCCATTTCTCCGAAAAAACAGAAAACTTTTGCCATATTTCAACTCTTCTATTCATTAAATTCTTCAATCCCTTTACCCCCAACTCTCTTATTTTCTCTCTGCTAAGCTTACATTTCTTGTGCTTCCAAAAAAAATAAATATTATCTTAAAAAATAAAATAAAATCTATTAGAGTAAAATTTCCATTAAATTTAATGAACTGCAAAATGCACGTCGTTTATTTAATTTTTTTATCTTCTTTTCTTTTTGTTCTTACTATTCATTAGATTTCTTTTCATGATCACCAGCATTAACAGCAGCAGCTATAAAAAAGGAAAGAAGAAGATTGGAAATTAATCGTTATTGCAGCTTGAAAATTGAATATAATGAGGCGCATTTGTTGAGTGACAATCATTGAGTTCTGAAAGAGTTTGCAGCATTAAATCCTAAATTGCAACATTAAGGAACAAAGAGGAAACTGATGAAATACCAATTAAATCATCTTATATTATTTTTGCACATTTGTTGGTCACATTTGATCATTTTGATCAGTTCCAATATCTTGAAAACAACTCGTTCAATTAAAAGAATCATTTCTTAGTTTAGAACTTAATTGATTCAAGCAGATTCTAGTTCTAAACTTCAAAATTAGAGATAATTTAGGTTTCAGCATCTAAAGACAATCAGATTCATCAAAACTATCTTTTAATCAATCGATTAAACCTAAGACTGATCAAACATCAAGAAACAAACTCAAAAAATCCAGCCAAAGTAGTCAAAATAACAAATTCATCCCTCAATCGCCAATAAATCAGCACCAAAAAAAGATTTAAAAGCGCGAAGAAAAAGAAACGAGATTAAAAACGAAACTCGTGGTACATTAAATCCAGAAAATTTATTCCAATTCATTGAATCTATTCAGCATAACGACACGACCTTGTGTTAAATGCCATGCCGATGAGAAGAAATCCCAAAAACAACATTTTCCAAGTAATTAAATTTTCGTTTAGAAACAAAAGGAAGACAAAATCAGACCCAGCAAATGGACAGTAATAATGTGCCTTTAAGTGTGTGTAGAGTGGAACCCCAACAATTCAATACATTAACATTTAACGGACTTGAATCTACAAGACCACAATTGCATGTTACGGTTTTGCAACAGACAATTATTTATAAACATTTACAGCATTAAGAGTGAGAGACAGTCAGCAAGAAAAACGAAAATGAGAGGGGACAGGACCAGAAGATTTAATGGTCTTTGATAATGGTGACTTTAGCCTCGATGCTGATTAAGCAAAGAATTTCATCAACAATGCCGTTGAAAAGAATTATTGTCCTCGACCTTTTTTTCCACTCCATCTTTTTCATTATTATCTATCCAGCATTTGCTTCATCTTTCCCAACTTTTTTTTGTTGTTTTTTTTTTGTTTGTCTTCTGGAAATGAAAACAAAAAAAAGAAGGAACGAAGATGAACTTTAATGAGGATAGGAACATTGAGACAAAAGGAAAATTAAGTAAATAGGTTTATAGTTTGTTTAACTACAACAAAAACTTTCTTTTCTAATTGACCAAAGATGGAATTTCTATGAGTATTCAGTTCTTAAATAATGATACCGAGATGTAGATGGAACTGGAATTGAATTAGTAAACATTTGTTGGAATTCTGATTCATATTGGTTGCATAAGATGGTTCGAGGGATTGGGGAGGTAGCAAAAGGTTTACTAAAGGCTATATATTAGGATTATTCCAGGTTAATAGAAGTTCCGAAACTTCAGATCATTTGTCAACAAATTCTTTAACAGCTCATTCCATAATTCAGTTCTAAATATTTGAAAACCAATATCCAGTCAAAATTAGCATCCTTTTGACATCACCAAACACCCTCCCATCAAGTTCTATATTACTCGGTCACATCTAAGCACATAAAGAGTGTGAGTATGTGTATCATGATAAAAAGATGCCAATCATCCTTTTCTCCAAAAAAAAAAATTGATTTCATGAAACGCCACAAGAATTTTTAATCAGACATGCCATATCACTAGATAAAATCTCTATGGAATTTAGTTCATATTAGGACGAGGATGAGTGAGCTGGAGAGAATTTTAAAATGACTTTTAAGTGATCTTATCAATTATTATCTATCGAGTACATGTCATGTCATCAACAAAAGCATATATACACGCTCATAACATGGATATACACATTGATGTTGATGATAATTCGATTATTGAGGAATAAAAACTTTTTATTGTTGAAATTGTCAGGAAATTATGAAATTTTTATTATGCTTCATCCTTCAATTTTATATTGACGTTAACTTTTAGCTTCGCAATAGATTTTTAAATTGATTTTAATTATTCTCTCGTGTTCGTTCATAAATAATTTTGTTGATAATTGAATTTTCAGCTTAGCAGAATGTCAGGATAGGAGAAGCACGACAATTTTGCAATCTATGCTTTATTTCCAATGAATTAAAAATTTAATAGTGAAATGTCATTTAGAGATTCGTTCATTTTCGATCGATTTTAGGAGCACACGTGGGAGATATGTGAATTTAACGGCTTTTTTGAATGTCAACGGATTTTAAAAATTTGAATTCAAGGGGACTGTAACATTAGTTGTGTGATATGTGACATTCCCCTTGTTTTGATCTGAATTTTCGTCGAATTTTTCAAATTGAAAAGAAAGCTTAATTAAATGGCAGAGAAAGCAGTCATTCTACAGAACTATAACCAAGAACTAGTCAAGTACATCGAAGTGCTTAAGAGAAGGAAGCAAAAGATCCAGGTAGAGATATCGCAAGACGAGAGAAATAAGGAAATTATATCGGCACAAATTCGTGCACTTCAGGAAAAGCAGGAAGAGATCGATGACCAAATGACAAAGAAGAAGATAGCATATGCCAAGATCGTTGATACGCTAGGTAAGATCCAGTTTAATTTATTAATACATTAAGGCTGTGAATTTTTGACAAAAAAGGCACAACATCCAGTGAACTTAAAGAACCTGCTTATGCAGTGTATTTTAAGGTCACTATTTGTTTATTAACTTTATTTCTATCATTTTACAGAGCAATCTGATCTTGGACTCTCGAAAATCATCGATTCCTTGCAAGTCTTGCTTGGTTTTACAGCATCAAAGACTGACACAGAATTGAGTGATTGATAAAAGTAAATATGATGTTAATTATATTAAATTTGTAACAATCTAGCATTAAATATGCTTAATATAGCCAATAAACTTCAAATTTGATAGCTCTCATTCTTAATGACTTGTGTCTTTTGAGCTGATCTACAGGTTTGCACTACTGTCGAGAGACATCCACAAAGTAAGACAGACTGAATATGCTTATAGCTATGAAAAAACAGCCATAATGTTAGACATGCAACTCAATTCTAACGACAAATTAATCGTCAACAGACTCAAAACTCAATCGCATTAAGCACTTCCAATCATAATAATGCATAAAGACATAAAAACACAAGTAAATTGATTGAATCGATTATGACATGAATCCTCCTCAATGTCGATAGGTTTAATTAATTTTAACTTTTTTTCTCTGCTCATTTATCTGCCCTGTGCATGTATACAGTCAGTCAGTGTATAAAAGGAATTAAATTTCCCTGCGGTTTTTCTGGCATTTTCATGATGAAAAAAGAATAATGATAGCATAACAGCATAAGCGAAAAATGAATGACAATTGAACACAGAAATTCAATTCACACAAACAACTTTTTTTTATGTTGCTGCTGCTGTCTTTAGCCTGAAACCACAACTTTTGCAAATTAAAATTAATTAATTACTGTGCATTGAATTGATTTAATGATGGGCTAGTCAGGGGAGGAACTGGGAGTGGGAATCAGAAAATTATTCAATTAATTTGATTCCCTCCTCCCTGACTACACTACTGTTACTGATCCCCAATATGCATTTCCGATAATTATGCATTATTTTTAAATCAATTAATCTTTACATTCATTTCAATTGTTTATTCTTTAATAATGAGCCTGTAAGCCAACAAATCAGACAAATTTAAAGAGCGTGTAAATGGATAGATAAGCAGGCTGTTTATTTTAGAGCTAATATATATTGTTTTATGCAGATATCATAAGGTTCATCATGCTGCTACTCTCAACAGTCATAAATTATTTGAATTTAAACATCCGTTGAGATCAAGATCAGATTAACGGGTTCAAAATATTTGAAAACAAAAAATAATTCAAACATTTTTTCACAGTTTTATTGATCTTCTTTTTACTTCCCAGATGCTAGAAGTCATAACCGCTTTTTAAAATTCAAATCCAGATATTTATTTATGAAATTTCAAAATATTTTCCGTTTAAACTTTTACTTCATTTCTACATTAATACTTTAGTATTGAAAATGTAAATAAAGGAAAAACATTCAGTAATCCAAGTTCATGTGAGTACAGTTTATCAGTTTGAATATATTAATTAGAGAAAAAAGGTAATTTAAAAGCATTTTAATAGATTAACATAGCAAAATGTCATTAGATATAAGTCATATTATTATAATAGCATGTAATTAGCCACAAATACACGACATTTGAGGCTTAAAATTAAGTGATTTTAATATTTGCCCTTCAAAATTTACAAAACATCCAAACGAGCCCCAATTTTGTGAGTAAGTTTGACGTAACTGCTGAATTTGAGATTTTTTGTGTGATTGAGTGAATTAAATTAATAGTTTGGGGCTTCAGAATCCATAAAATAAGCCAATATTAAGTAGATGCGATGTTATAGACAATAAAGTGCTAAAAGTGATTGAAATTAAGCATAAAATCAGACGATAAACATGAAAAAAGTGAATTAACTTGTAAGACAAAGAAAAATAAAAAATATTTTTTACAAAAGAATTTTGGGATTAAAAATGAGATAGAAATTGATTTAATTAAGCTTATCATCTGGATTTTAAAACCTATAGATTTTAAAAAAAATCATTGATTTTTAAAAATAAAGTTAAAAAAAGTTGAAAATATTTTTTTTGCCATTTCAAAGAAAAAGAGAAAGAGATAGAAAAACAAGTTTTCTTAGATTATTGCTAGAAAATTAAATTTAAAACGAAGTTGATATTTGTATTGTGTGTGACATCCAGAAAACAGAAAATTGAGCTTCAATGACTAAGGTAGCTACTAGCTTTGACTAGCTACCTAAATGATATTTCATAATGAATCGATTGTGAACTTGAAAAATGATAAGCAAACTTCTGTAATCAATTTTCTTTCAGTTCTGATACACGACAATTATTTTTTTATATTTTTTGGTTGCAGTTAATACAAGTATAATTTTTATAGATGTGTGTTTTTATGATGATGTGAAAAAGAAATGCGATTAATAAACGCAATAAAGTTGAGACAATAAAGAAAACTCAGTGAAAAATTCAAAAAAAAGTGAAGGAAAAATAAAAACAAAGAAAATTCCATTATTAAGCTGTTGAGATACTTTCTGGGAAAAATTGTGAGTGAAAATGTAAATTATTTAATGTGTGTATGTGGAAAATTCAGTTCTAATAGGCAATTTGGGACGTCATCAAAAACAGTGGATTTATTTAATTAATTCATCTTGATTCTTTTTGTGCTCGTCTCATTTTTTTTTTTTGGTTGTCTCTGTTTCTCGAAATTCGTACTATATTTTTCGAGATTCTCTAATCGACTAGTTTGGATAGACGTCAAGAACAGCTAACAAAAGTCCGTGCTTAAATTAATGGATTTAAATGGCTAATCCGAGTATTTAAGCTTTTGACTTAATCCTTAGACACTAATCAATTATATTCTAATTTTTGATCAGTTATGTCATTAACATTGTCAGTTTTATACACATTTGCAGGCACAACAGTTCAAAAATTTGATCAATTATCTTTTAATTCTCGTCGGATTTATTTTAAGCTCAAGATTTAATTGAATCCAAAGATTTGCTTTTTTAATCCAATACCTGCTTAATCCTAAGATCAATTTCAGTCTTCAAATTGCTAATTCTCAAATTAAGCTCCTTACATTTCAAAGATTTTCAAGACATTAATAATTACCGTTTAAAATACATATGATTTGATATATAACATATTATAGACAAAGTTTTGAAACTTTTGCCATTCAGGTACGAATATGTTGTGTTGGAACTGCCATAAGTATTTCAAAAATGACAAGTCATACTATGCCATTTTAATGCTTTTAGACATATAACATGATTATTTATTATTATTATTTATTTGTCGACGTTACCGTCCGGAAGAATTAGTATTTATACATGTTTTACTTTTTACATTGATTAGTGATACATTTCATATCACTATGGGTGACGTAGAATCAAGCTTCTAATCTTCAAATCTAGGTTTCGATTAAATTCAGGCTCTCGCTTCAATCTTCTGTGGGCGTGACGTGATACATTTCAGGTCCGTTCTGACAATGTTCCATTATATGGTAATCTTGTAGCTCTCGTTCCTATTTCTCCCGCTACACTTCAAGTTCCTGATCCGTTCCTTAATCGTACGTTGCCCAAAATGCCCAATTATGGCTTGATCTTGAGTTACCATACCAAATTTGAGCCAAGCGCCTTACCTATTCGACCAGCAAGGCACTTAACTGCATAACTGCATTAGTTTAAAAAAAGTAGAATTGCATGACATGCCGTCCATAAACTTCTTTTGGCTGTAACTTTGCATTTTGTGTTTTAAAATATAACCTTAATTATTTCATGGTTTTATGAAAAGTCGCCCGCTTACTTCCAATTTTGCGGCTGTACAAAATGGCACATGCTGTATCTCGGGAACTAAGCATGACCAAAAAGTTTTGATTGATGACCTAAAGTAACCTGTATTAGGACAATATTCAGGCAGAGTTTCAAGTCGATTGGACATATTCTGCCCGCGTACTTCCAGGACACAAAAATTTAAATCCTGTGGATTAAATTCAAAATTTTGTTAACCGTTAAATCCAATAAAACTCAATTAATCTCAAAAAAATCCCAAACGACACACAAAGCAGCAAAACTATATAATTAATGGCAAAGCACTGAGCAGCAGTTACAATACTATATTTCTTTTTTTTTTCATTCATTTTTCAATTGAGTGTATTTTATTTCTTCACTGACTGAGAGTTGGGTGCCAACAAGTCATCGTCATTAATTAATTTTAAAATAATTCTATAAAAAAGAGTTCACAAAATAAGGGAAATTCAATGACGAGATCACAAAAGGCTAATGCACAAGCTTCTGTGTGCGACGTCATTTGTTTATGATGCAACGCAATAAAATAAAACTGAACCATTGAATGTGCCCTATTTTGACATCAGCTGTATTATATGTCGTTCTCTGTCTAGCACATGTAGCTATACGCAGAGCCATCTTTGTTGTTGTTTTACTCCGATGATTTCACTTATAAAGAAAGAAGGAAAAAACTCGAATCAATAAAAGAAATATTTTTTTTTTCCTTCCTCTTAGTTCTGTGGCTGTGTCTGATTGTCCGGTAATATTCTAATCATGTTATTATCTGTCTTTACAGTGATTTTAAACTATATTTTTGGTGTCATAATTCAGCGAAAGGACTGTGAATGTGAAAAAGCACCTGCCTGGATAGTTTTCTGTGTGAAAAATTCAGGCATTGTGATTTGAAATAAAGCATAATAAGAATTAAAAAAAAAACCAGAAAAGTGGAGCTACAAGAATAAGAAATCAAAATCATCGTCATAGACATCTCCCAACATTTTTTGGTCATCCTTAAATTCTCAAAATTGATTTCGTTCAGGGCTTCTCGACCTCTACAAGGTCCTCGACCGAGGACCAGCCACCGCGTAAACGCTCCAAAAAGACGTCGGTGTTAGAGGAATCATCACAAAATTCACTGTCTCGATATAGCACATCGTCGACATTTGCAACCTTATCTCCAGCTTCGCATACGATTAACGCAGCTTCCCAAACATCAACAAATCATCATAATAATAACACACAGCACATACATTCAGCACATCAGTTTAGCAACATTTTTGAAATGTTAGAAGAGAATATGAATGGACATAGAATGGCACAAGGCAACAGTAATGCAGATCAATCATCAATATCTGCGAATGGTACGTCTTCGTCAAATAATTGTGCTGACTATACGACAAATGGCATTATGAATCACAATAGTCACCAAAATCAATATTCGACACAAAATCAAAATGTTCAATTAGATAATACAAATCGTGACATAGTTCGTCTTATTGGACAACATTTAAAGCTAATTGGTCTTGACCGGACAGCTCAAATGCTTATGCAAGAATCTGGCTGCACACTTGAACATCCGGCTGCAACTAAGTTTCGTGAGCACGTTTTGAGTGGAGATTGGCAAAAAGCAGATTATGATCTGCAGGAACTACAGACTATTGTTGATGATGATAAATTAACAAAGCATAATTTGATTGAGATGAAATTTTTATTGTTGGAACAAAAGTATCTTGAATATTTAGATGATTCTCGTCCTATTGATGCATTGCATGTGTTAAGGAACGAATTGACTCCTCTGCAACACAATACACCTCGTGTCCATCAATTGTCTAGCTATATGATGTGCACTAATAATCAGGTAATGCTTCTTTTTTGATGAATTATGGTAGCTAAAGCGATTTTGAAGTTTAACGGATTTTTGAAATTTAAAATTCCATTCAGTAGTTCAAAAGTTCATTTCATTTCAGTTTATATATCAAAATTCAAATTTCAAAAATCCGTTAAGAATTTATTTCTTTTAAAAACATTTATCCAGCAATTTATCGACCAATAAAGTACACAAACATCTCCAATTTATTTTCATTTTATCACACACTTTTCTTTTATTTTCAACACTCAATTAGGAATTATATGAGCGTGCAAGTTGGGAAGGCAAGAATATAAAATCTCGCACCCGTTTAATGGACCGTTTGCAATCATATTTGCCAGCTAGTGTCATGCTGCCACCAAAACGTCTTCATACCCTTTTAAGACAAGCTGTTGAATTACAAACAGAGCGTTGTAGTCATCACGATATGGCTTGGGAGACATCAATTGATAATGTATCGCTGTTGAGTGATCACAATTGCTCCGATACTGCCCACAATTTCCCCATGTATCCTGTTCAGGTAAGAATAGAACTTTGCAGACCAAAAAGTCCGTTGAATTTGAATTTTTTTGTTCATTTATGCGGGGAAATTTTAATTTGAAAAAAGCGTTATTATTTAAATTGATTTTACGATCAATTAATTGATTGTGATTTAATAAATCGTGTATTGCAGATTCTCAACGAACACTCGGACGAAGTCTGGTTCTGCAAGTTCTCACCAAATGGTCTCAAGTTAGCAACAGGTTCAAAAGATACTTACGTCATAATTTGGGATGTTGATCCAGAAAAGCACCAATTAAAGCACCGAAAATCGTTTGAATGTCATCCAAATGGTGTGTCATTTGTGACTTGGTCACCAGATTCAAAGTATCTTATAGTCGGTGGTACAGAAGAGTCGTCAGAGTTGCTTATTTTTAATATAGATGAACTTAAACTTCATTCAAAAGTGTCACATTCAAATGACGAGTCACTAACGTGTGCTGCATTCTCGCCCGACGGCACTCGTTTCGTGACTGGTGGTATTCGTGGACAATTTTATTTGTGTGATTTAGAAGGCACTATATTAAATAATTGGGATGGCGTTCGTGTTAATTCCTTAGCTTTTCTTAACGACAATCAAACAGTTCTGGCTGCTGATACACATTATCGTATAAGAAGTTATTGCTTTGAGACGCGTAACGACTACAATATGATTCAGGAACAACATCCAATTATGACATTTAGTGTAAACTCAACAGACAGATTGGCGTTGCTTAATATATCATCACAAGGCTTACACTTGTGGGATCTACGAGACAAGTGTGTGATAAGAACTTATCAAGGAATAACTCAAGGCACATATACAATTTATTCAACCTTTGGTGGTGTTAATGAGAGTTTCATCGCAAGCGGTAGTGAAGATAATACGGTGTGCATCTGGCATGTACGTCGAGAAGAGCCATTAGCAACACTTACAGGACATACGCGCACTGTTAATTGTGTCTCATGGAATCCGGTATTTCACGATATGTTAGCCTCATGTTCTGATGATGGAACTGTTAGAATTTGGGGTCCAAAACCAGGAAATGGCTATTTGTCATCATTAATATCAGGCTCAACGTCATCAACGCCCGCGACATCCTCTTCGTCGTCATTAAATCACAATGATGATCATATGGGAAATTCAAATAATGATTGGAATATTTCGTAGAATTAAAAGCAATTTCTTCACTCATAAAAAATTCTTCTGTGTCCCTAAATATATTTTTATTTTTTGTTGGATCTACTGTGTTATTAGATCCAAACATTTTTTAATGATGAAAACAACCAAAAACCTGTTTATTTTTCTGTTTTTATAAAAAAGAAGTAATTTCCGTGCATAACTTATTTTAAAAATTTCCAAAATAGAAGATTTTTACAACCTCCCCTAGATTAAGCATAACACATGATTCATGTGTCAATACTAAACAATTTTTGATGATATTTATGATTAAAAAAGATTTAAATTTAATTTTTTTTTATGCATTAATTTAGCTGATTATGTTGAGTTGATTTTAAGTAATGGAATATTAATAATAATATAGTAAAAAAAAGTTTAATTTTTATGATTTTAATTGTCTTATTCACTACGTTAAATGAGTGATCTCGCGAATCTTATAAGAGAATATATATTATGTCCTATGCTGACTACATTGTTATGAATTGGATATTTAAACTGGCATTTGAGTGATGATTTTTGTCCAAGGTCGGCTTCGTTACATTTACTCGACTTTATAGATCAACGATTAGCTCCAAGGTCATTTTTGTTTACAATTTGGAATTTAATCATGTAATGATGATCTTTAAAACAAATATTATTGCAATGGAAGCTCTGCTGTGTGACGTTTTAAATAATCGAGGCTTCCGTACAGCTTTAATCGTAAAATGAGGTTGATGTGGTCAATAGAAGCTCACTATTTTGATTTTTTTACACCAAACGCTTATCAAGATATTAATGCCAATATTCTACTTCCAAAATCATGTTTTTTTGTACCTTAAAGAACTTTTGCATTAAAATTTTAAAAGATTTTTTATTAAAAAAAAAAAAGTTTCAATGATTTTTCAATTTATTAAAATCCGAATAGATAACGAAAGAGAAGAGGAAATTAGACGTGCGTGAAAATGTAAACAGAAATGACCTTGAAAATATCTCTGCAGTGCGAGAGAAGAAAGTAATTCCGCAAATCGGTGCATTGTGGATGAAAATGTGAAATAAATCCTAAGATTTAAAAATTAATCTGGACATTAAAAAATGAACTTAATTTAATCTATGGATTTAAAATAAATTTGGGCGAAGGGGGTTGAGTTTAGATTTCGATTTTTTTTGTTTCAAACCCTCAGCTAAATGACCACTGCCTATAGATCAGAAGAATCGAAGCACTGGAATCCAGAGGAAAGAACTGGCATTAATATTAAGCTATGATTCAAGTTCTAGTTTAAATAGACTTATTTTTTTAAAAACTTGGAGTTGACCCGTTTTTGATTCGAATTCGAACCAAGTCGAGTTTCAACTCTGGTATTTTATTGGATTATCATTATGATAAGGTCGAGTTAAGCTAATCCAACAATTCCTGACTAGACAAAACACCAAACTAAGCATAAAGTCACTGTCATCTTCCGTCAATGGTCGTACATATCAATTGTGATCTATGACCTGCCTTAGATGGCAACTAAGAATCCCTTTCGCTGTCTCCCGTTTGCCAATTACCAAATAAAGTCAGTTAAATTAATCCAATTCGTACTCTAGACAGCACTTAGTCCAAGAAGACCTCACAAATAAATAAGAAATTGTCTATTAAAAGAAAAACTTGACGCAATAATTTACGAATTCCAACAAGCAACAAAACAAAATGTGGAACTAATGTGCAATGACTGAATATTCACAACGAGACCTCATTTAATCATTTTTGGCACAAAGAGTAAAAGATGAAAAGTGAGAAAAGTCTCAGAATATTCAATTGCTGGGCATTAATCCCACACACAACAGACACAAAACATTACATTTTTATGTTATTAATGACGATCATATGCCATCCTTAATAAAGAATTTTAAACAACAAATTTAATTTTGACAAAAATAAATAAAAACAAAAAAACCAACTTAAGACTGAAAGTCGATAAAGCATGCTGAAAAATCATCAGCATGATCTATAAAATGTGATCTTAACAAATATTATGAAATTCAAAGCCATCAGAGAAATTAATAATTCAGATGGACTTAAAATGCCAATCCATTGAACACAAATAAAAACATTAATTAAAGGAAGTAACGTAGCTGTGTTGAAGACATTGAAATGTTAAAAATGGTGGAATAAAGTTTGGGTGTAGTCAAAAAGGGGGGAGGGGGTCCTTTTGAGATGTTGGACACCCCTTTTGAGATGTTGGATACCCTTTTTGGGAAGTCGAGGTTAGACTACACCTTTCCGACAAGGAAAAAAGTTAAAATGATGGTGATGATGATGAGCACTGGAAAATGATGCATCGGAAAATGAAAAAAATCTTCAATGGAAAATTTTAGCAGATAATAAAAAATTGATTATAAAGTTTTTATGAAAAAGAAATTGAAAAAAAATAACGATTCAAGTTTTAATATTAAGGATTTGTTTCAAATTGTAGCTAGTAAGCCTTCTCTCCCCACGGATTTTGTGTCCCCCTAAATTTAATTAATTTAATTAACTTCATTTCTTCCTCGACACTCGTATCTCTTTTTAAGCACATTTTTGGCGAAATTAATGCGAATATATATTCACTTTTTTTTTGGGTGTAATTGAGTGAATTTTTGTGCCCTAACTGTGATTTTTTGATCCAGCAGATCCTTTGGCTGATTGTGACTAGGGATTGATGCTGTTCGATCGGGCTTTACATAAATATTTCTTTTAAAAATTATAAATTGACGAATAACATAGAATTTAGTAGATGTTTTGATTAAACCTTCGCATGGATGAATTAACTATGGAATTATTTAAAATTTGGAGTTTTTCATTCGGATAAAAAAAGCTTCAAAAATTGTCAAATTTCGGTAAATTTGACTTTGTAACGTTTGAATTTTGAAAAATACGTTAAATTTTAATTTCGAAAAAGCTTGTGAAACTTGAACTTTACAAACCCGTTAAATTTTGATTTAAAAAAAACTCGTCAAATTTGAACTTTACAAAACCGTTAAATTTTGATTTGAAAAAAGCTCGTCAAATTTGAATCTTACAAAACCTTTAAATTTTGATTTAAAAAAAACTCGTCAAATTTGAAATTTACAAAACCTTTAAATTTTGATTTAAAAAAAACTCGTCAAATTTGAAATTTACAAAACCGTTAAATTTTGATTTGAAAAAAGCTCGTCAAATTTGAATTTTACAAAACCATTAAATTTTGATTTGAAAAAAGCTCGTCAAATTTGAATCTTACAAAACCTTTAAATTTTGATTTAAAAAAAACTCGTCAAATTTGAAATTTACAAAACCGTTAAATTTTGATTTGAAAAAAGCTCGTCAAATTTGAATCTTACAAAACCTTTAAATTTTAATTTCAAAAAAGCTCGTCAAATTTGAATATTACAAAACCTTTAAATTTTGATTTAAAAAAGCTCGTCAAATTTGAACTTTACAAAATCGTTAAATTTTGATTTGAAAAAAGCTCGTCAAATTTGAATATTACAAAACCTTTAAATTTTAATTTTAAAAAAGCTCGTCAAATTTGAATATTACAAAACCTTTAAATTTTGATTTCAAAAAAACTTGTCAAATTTGAATTTTACAAAACCTTTAAATTTTGATTTAAAAAAGCTCGTCAAATTTGAACTTTACAAAATCGTTAAATTTTGATTTAAAAAAAGCTCGTCAAATTTTAATCTTACAAAACCGTTAAAAATCAAGTTTTCAAACCCGTTATTTTTTTACCTCTACACTCATCACATAAAAAATTAATTATGCTGATCGATCAATTGCAAAAATGCGCTTCATTATCAGCCTTTTTGTAGCTACATGACAGCATGTCGTGTAAGCATCAAAATCACTTAATTTGTTAAATGTCTCAAAACCTTTTCATTTTCTTAACACAAAAATTTCTAAAAGAAAATTGAGCATATGTAAAATTATAAAAAAATTGCAATAACATTTCTCATTTTTAAATAATAAAAATCATGATGATAAGCAAGAAAAATGGCTAACAAAATACAAGAAAATCGTAAATTAAGAGATTTTTTTTGCATTCTGAGTTCTTTTTTATATATATACAGTACGATAAAAATATGAGTAATTACTATAAAATTTGCGTATAAATCTAATAGATAAATGATGAAGTTGATCAATATAAACAAAAAGTATATTAATCTTTAGGAAATAATTAAAATTTGTCTCTTAAAATATGAACAAAATAAAAGGAAAATTGATTATAATAAAAATTGTTGTTTTATCGACTTGTTTCAGCCTTTCTTATCATCAATTAACTTCAATTAATATTTTTTGAATTTTTGAAAAAATAACGGCACAAAATAATTCAAACCTTGTGTGTCGACTTTCAAATTGAAAAAGAAACCGTTGAAGTGAAAATTCCATTGGAAAATTACCAAACAATAATAAACATGCTGAAGTCAAAGAAAAATAAAAATTTTAATAAAATTCTGTTTGACAGCGATAACGAGGAAGATTTAGCGTTTGGAACCAACAAATCTTATGCTAAGCACTACGACGAATTCAGGAAAAAGGAGATTCTAAGTCACCGTAAGTAATTTAATGAAATAAATCAAAAAATAAAGATTTCACGTGTAAATAAATCAAAACAAATTTCAGTCAAGAACATTAGCGATGAAAGCAGCAGTGACGATGATGCTAGTACAGATGAGGAGCTTGAGAATGCAGCATTTGATAAGGAATTCTTTAATGCACTGTCTTATTTAAAGAATAAAGATCCAGCGAAATATGAAGAGATCCCAACATTCTTTAAGGAACTTCCAACAGTCGAGGAAACAGTCAAAAATAAGCAACAGAGCAAATCACAAAAGCCAATTACAGTAGCTGATCATCAGCGTGAAAGATTGATTAAAACAGAAGGTCTTATGACTGATGATGATGAAGAAACTACTAAAAAAAGTCCAGAAGACATGTCATACGTTGCTGAGCAGCAAAAAATCAAGAATGACCTCAAAAAGGCACTATCTGGAAGTGAAGATGAAGCTGATGACTTTTTACAAGTTCGTAGTAAAACTAATGATGAATTACAGCAGGAACAGACAGACTATAGAAAGTGGCTGTCAGAGCAAAAAGGTCCTAAATCAATGAAGCCATTAAAAGATTTCTGGACGAGTAATGAGCTTAATAAGGATGACAAGTTCCTTCGTGACTACATCCTTAATAAAAGATATGTCGAGAATGGCGAGGAATCAAATTTTAATGAACTTGTTGGTATATCCGATGACGAAGCTGAGTTTGAGAAGCAAACTGAGTATGAGCATAAATACAATTTTCGTTTTGAGGAACCAGATAATGAGTTTATTAAGCGTTTCCCGAGGAAAATTGACGATACATTGCGTGTTGAGGACACAAAAAGAAAGGATAAGCGTAAAGAACGAGATGAGAGAAAGGCACAAGAAAAGGAATTAAAAATGAAGCATTTAAGAGAGTTACAGAACATCAGGAAACGTGAAATTGAGGAAAAATTGATGGTTCTTAAAGATGTGTCTGGACGGGATGACTTAGAATTAAAGGAAGATGATTTAAATACAGATTTTGATCCAGCAGAGCACGATAGACGAATGGCTGCATTATTTGACAATCAATATTACGGAATCGATGGAGACGACCAAAAGCCACAATTCCCAGACCTTGATGAGGAACTAAACATTGAAGATTGGGATAATTTCGATAAAAGTAAAGTTCCAGCGCCTGAACAGGATGACACTGAGCTGCATTGTGAGGACGATGACTTTAATATGGATTGTGATTATGATCCACAAAAAGAAAAGAGAGATAAAATCCAGCAGGAACTTATAGACATGTCTAAAGGTCGTAAAAGGAAGAAGAAAGTCTCAAAATTAGCTGAAATTATTAATAGAGACAAACCAGCATATGATCCAGAACAAGGAAAGTCTTACGAGCAATATCTTGATGAATATTATAAATTAGACTACGAAGACATCATTGGAGATCAGCCATGTCGATTTAATTATGTTGAATGCGTTCCCAACGATTTTGGATTAACTGTTGAGGAGGTGAGTTAATTTGTGATTTTGTTAAAATTGTCAGATTTACTTTAATCTCAAGATTTAAGTTTCTAATCCTCGTGATTAATTTTAGTCCGTTAAATTAGATTCAAATTGAATCTGTTCAGTAATGCAAAAAGTTCAATTCTGTTCAGTTCATTTGAATTTTCTAAAACTGTTAAAATTCAAATTCCTTATAACCGTCATAATACAAAAATTAACAATCCGTTAATTTTTGATTTATCTAGATTCTAATGGCATCAAACAAGGAGCTCAATCAATGGGCTAGTCTCAAGAAAACTATGCAGAATCGTCCAAAAAATGTGGAAATGAATGATGTCGAGAAATACAATCGCTGGAGGAACAACTTAGCTTTAAAAAAGAAAATATTCAAAAGTATGTTCGGTGAGGCATCAGACAGTGATGAAAATGAAGGTTCTGATAGTGAGTCAAAGGAAGTGCCTGCAAAATCAGACGAGGTGCCAGAAAAATCAGAGGTTGTAGCTGAAAATCCTACGAAAAAGAAGAAAAAGAAAAACAAAAAGAAGAAAAAGCCACAAAATGCAGATTCTCAAGCTAGTTCTTCAAATGCTAATCCACAAAAGCCTGTAAATAGCAAACAAGAAGATAAGCAAAATGCTCCAGATGTGATTAATGAAAGCAATAAAAAGAAAGAGTCTATTCAAAAAGAAAGTCAACGAAAGACTGACAATAAAGCAAGTCCAACAAAAAAAAGTTCTACGCCACAAAATAAAGCAAAACAGTCACTTGTAAAGCTTCAAAATGACGAGGAGTCAAAACCAACAACAAGTACGGAAATTCCCAAAATAATGACCCTTTTAACATCCAGAAATCACCAAAATAATAAGAAACGAAAATTCGAAGGCACTCAGCCACAGAAAAACAACTTCAAGAAGAGGAAATTCGACAGCAAGCAAAACTGGAAGCAAAATAATCAGTCAACAAATGGAATCGCTGATGAACGGTTGAAAGCTTTTGGAATTAATCCCAAAAAGTTCCATAACAAAGCCAAGTACGGTGGACAGAATCAGAACAATCAAAATAAGCAGAAAGGAAAGTCTAAGGAATGAATACAAAGAAACTTTTGTAAGTTTTATTTCCTGTCAACATTTTTGAAATTAAATATATTAATTATTAAAAAAATACTCAATATATTATGACCTTGACTCCAAACCTAGTGATGTCCATGTCCTCGATTACGGTGTTTGTGATTTTCTACAAAATCTTGATTGTGAGGTCCGTGACCATGATTTTCCACAAAATCCCTGTTGTGTGCATGATGTTCTATATGTTTATCATCTTCGTGGTATTTATTAACATCATTATGATCGCCCATAAAGATATTATCTTCTTTTTTGCAGTCAGTGCACTGATTACTGTGACTTTCATGTCCATGTCCGCTTATTTCTTCAAAATAAAATAAAGACATTGATAATATTAACTACTGAAGTCGATTCGCTGTTGGCATTGATCATTATTCCCCTACTTGTGTAACAAAATATCGCACCTCCCACGCCATTATAACGTTACGTAATAACGTAATCAAACCCTATTAATTAATGATTCCTAAAATTAACTACGCATCAGATCAATTTGTGAACTCAAATTTCGAAAGATTTTATCTCTAAATTATCAAATTTAATCCTTTACTTGAAGTTCAAGGATGTCCTTATTTTTAACACTTTTAAGTCCATTAAGATTTCCAGATTAGCTTTTACATTCCCCAAAACAATTAAGTCGCAATTACACTAAAATCAATCTTAAAAAGCTAATGAATTTTCACCAAAAGCTTCTAAGAAGCAACCAAATAGAAGACAAGTTAAGACTTACCAACTGACTTGACAGTTAAAACAATTAAAACAATTCCCAACATAACAAAAATTGACTTCATTGTGAACTGATTGACTTCCAAAATGTATCTGAGAATTATTTATTATTTCGGCTCGGGTCGTGCTTATTGTGATCTAACTTAGAAGCTAATGTTCAAAAAGTCCAAAACAATAAAATTACATCAAAAAGAAACTTTTAAGAAATATTTTTAAAGCTGGTTAAAAACTATTGACTATAAACCCAAAACCAGTTCCTTACCAATATTAAAATTTTAAAGTTTTATTAAATTTGGTCAAAATTAACATTCTAGATCCAAACATAAAGTACGTAGCTAGTTGCTTATTTTGGATATTTTTATCGACAGCATACCATTCAATCTGTACAGCACGCACGTGTAAGAGAGAAAATGAGAAGAATCGAAATTGCTTCTAGAAGCTCAATATGCTGTTTTTATTTTGGTAAACATAAAAGAAGAAAATTCGCTGACTACATTCAATTCAATTCCTGTCTCTGTTTTGTCTGTCATTTCGGTCACGATCATTGTTGTTTCTATCATTATTGTTCCTGCTGTTATCTCGGTCTCTGTTATTGTTATTATCCCTATCTCGGTCCCTGCTGCTATCTCGGTCTCGATTGTTATTGTCTCTATCCCTATTGTTGTTGTTATCTCGCTCTCGTTCCTTGCTTTTTGATCCTTTATGTCCATTCTTGTCATGAGATCCTCTATCTTTTGAATGTTCACGAGATTCACCCTTCTTCTTGCCTTTTGCCATTTCTGTTTGAAAAGATTTTAGAGTTTGGGATGAAAAATGAGAAGGAATGTTTCGGAGAAGTTGTTAAGAATGTTGAAGAATGTTAAGGGTTTAGATCTTAACCTCCTACATTTTTGAAAACGTTCTTTGGTTTGTTTTGGCTTTTCGAGAGAAATATTCCAAAATACAACCTGAAAAATTTCAAACTACTTCTTGGGGAGGGTTTGATCAAAACCTATGATACGTTCCATTTCTCTTGCTGACTAATTGGTCAAACCTTAAATACTTTATATCCAAAATTATAAAATAAGTCTACCAAATTACTCACCGACTGAATTAACAGCCACAAGCAAAATCAAAAGAGTTCCTAATAAGATGAATGTCAACTTCATTGTGTCACAGTCAAATTTTATCGATTAACTGAATATTATTAAGAAATTCTCATCTGCTTATATAGACAAGACATCATGAGATCATTAAGAATGGTCAAAACCCGTCAAAACAACTACAGCTAAGTGTTAAGCATCTTTGTTTTGATTTTGAAGTATGTTATGTATTCAAAACAAATAAGATAATTAACAGAATCAACAATCACAATCGAAAGCTATGAGAATATGAGTTTAATAGGGATTAAAAGGCACTTAATCTGTTTCATGCTGAATTTTAAGTTAAATGTGAAAATTTGGATTTTTAATTGCAGCTTTTATTTTTTAAATTAATCAATTTTAAATCAAAATAGGTATCAAAAATGGACAATCATTCCCATATCGAGTTTATAGCAGCAATTTTAATTATTGCTGCACTTGTAACTTTAATTCAACTTGTATTCAAATTGATATACTGTCTCTGTCCTCGTCAACCAGCAAATCGTATTCCAAGAACTAGGAATAGATCTCGGTCATTAACTCGCGCACAGTTTACAAGAATTCCAAGTCCAACAATCTCAGAAATGAGATTATACAGCAGACATATACTTAGCAGACATGGACGAAAGTCAATCTTTACGCAAGCTAGTATGCAATCATGTATTTCATGAGCAATGCTTTTCTAATTGGATTACGCGACATGAAGCTTCCTGTCCTGTATGCAGACGAAGCGTTAGGAAGCAGAAAGTCATTACAATTTCAAATTTCAAAAACATAATTTATTAGAAATCATTATAAATGATTAAACACTTCTTTATTACACTCTAATATCCTTCATAACAGTTTATGTCCCCCAAAAAAAATAGTAAAATGATAACTAGTAATGCTTAAAAAATAAAAACGAATTGTTTGGTAAACCGTTACTTAAATAAAATGTCATCCAGCTTTGGCCCAGCACGTCCATAGGGATCGTCAGCCAGGATAAACTCCCCAAACACCCAATTGTATCTAATTTGCCGCTTATCTATCACTTCCATTACATCCTTTTGAGACTTTTTTATATTCTTTACATCACCTGTTGAATAATCAATGGAAATAGCATTTAAAGCTTCAACATGCTTACTCAAAAGATACATACGGAACAAGTCATTGCTAACAATAGCTGCATTAAGCTTTGCTGCAGATTCCAAAAGTATAAGATCATCATAAGATTTCGAAGGAGTCGTGATAAGTTTACTGGCTTCAAGTAGTTCCACCATTAATGCATGATTCGATGATTTATCGCGACGAACTCGAAATTCAGGAACGACTGCTTTAACTTGAAATCCTTTATCCTCAAAATATGTTACTACTTGCTTTAGTGCTGTTTGTGGATGGAACTGTCATGTAAAATATGATTTGTGAATGTTATGAGGACGAACTTACCTTCGGCTGAAAATTCCCTATAATCATTACCCATTGCTTTCTTACCAATTTCTGAAGCTGTGAATCCCATAGCAACATTACTCCCGTCAATCAAAATTTTACGCTTTTCACGTTCTATTGGTGGCTTTACAGTTACTGGCGTAGAATGCATAACTGGTGCTGTATTTAATTGCGGTCTAAACATGCTTGATGGATTTAAAGTCACAGTTTGAACTGGATTGTTCATTGATTGGACGACTTGCGATAATGTTGGAATATCTTGTGATGTTGATGGCAAATTTGTAGGTTTAGGTATGGCATGTAAATTATTAATTGTAGAAGTTCCATTATTAGTGTTTGACACTCTTATAGGTGCGATTCCATCCAGCAATCCATTCGATTGAAGTTCCAGGACTTTTTCAACCATTTTCTTTTGTTTCCAAGTCTTGACTCTAGCCTTTTGTCTCTCCCTGCGTTTCTCCTTGCTTGACATTTCGGGCAATTTAGTTAATTCATGTGGAATTGGCGATAATGCAATAAAATCACTTCCAGCAGTAAAATTTGGTTGCTTAATTGGTGACTTATCTTCAATTATAATCACTGAATCATCTGAATTTGAATGCGTGTCGTTAACAACAATAACAGAATCATCTACTTCCATTGGCTGAACAAACGAGCCTGTCAATGGCTTATAAAGTGGAACTTCCGAGAAACTGTCTGCTGACTTATCGACATAAAATATTGGCTGATTCTCATAACTCGAATCAGGAGATTTCTTGTCTTTAATCATTTTTGAACGTTCAACTTCCTTGAAGCTATCAGCTATTAAGCTTACATATTGCGTGACTTTATCCTCGATTATCTCTCCATCTTCTAGGTCATCATCACTAATGATTGTGACTGATTGATAAGCTTTGAGGTTCTCCTGATTGTCTTTAGATGTTGACGGAGCATTTTGACGGTTCATGACCCTAACTCTTTTATATTCACTGAGTGCATCCAGGAAGCTTGGATTAGCTTGATTGTTTCGCATTTTCTTCAAAGTTCGATTAGGTCGTTTTTTGACTCTAGGAGTTTTTTGATGAAAATTATTTAAGCCTCGATTTAAACGCTTTAGTGGACGAAGATCCATTTTTGGGACTTTCTTTCTGAACTGACTATTGTTGAAATTTTGATGCTGTTGGATGTTGTTTGACGTTGTTGGTGATTCCTGAATTAATTAATTTTTTTATGAGAATAAAAAGAAAGAAAACCTAAAAGACAAAAAATGCTCAAATGGCATTTAAAAATATAATAAATAGGGACGACTTATTTGTCGATCATTGGAATGGATTTCTTATTGACTTAGTTGGTAGTTTGGGATTTGAGGAAGTATTCAAAATTCTGAAAGTAGATAAAATCTTTAAATTAGCACAGATCAAGATGAAAAAGCCACAAGACTAGCCAGTCACATCCAAATCAGCACCAATTCAAAGTTATTAATCTAGCTTCAAATTATTCCCAAATTACCAACCCTGTTTCCAATGAGAGCCCATAAGAATGTCACCCATTCAGCCAAAACTTTCTAAAAACCATCCAAATTTGCTTCTAATGCCTTAGTTGTTGATGTTTAGAAAATTGTGACTGAATGGAGAGTCTTAAAGTCAAGTCTCATTCCGCATTCGAATGGCTCAAGCTGTGGTTACTTTAGCGAGATTCATTAATTATTTTATATGCACAGCGAGTCTCTAGGCTCTCCCTATGAATCTCAATCACTCACAAATCACCAGTCATTCAATAAAAGCTTAAAAGCTCAACATTTATTTCATTTCTTTTAAAATAATCATCAACACACAGGAAAAATGATGTCTTTTGTGGATTACAATAAACACAACCATAGCTTACATAAGCACAAAAAAGCTGATATTTTAATTTAATTAATTTCTTGTTGTCTGAATAAATATCCTTTTTGCTCTAAATGACTATAAAATAATTTAATTTAATTTCTCGAGATCCTCAATTTCCATTTTAATGTTAGTACGAGCAGTTTCTTCATATTTATCACGCAATGTTTGATTCGAATAGATAGATGGAATCATTAGTAAAGTTTTAAGCATTTTCAGTCTATCCTTTTTGTATGAGTCATCGTTATCTGACGAGTATTCTTTCTCAACATTTTGTGAATATTGATTATAATCCTCGTTGGATGAACTAAAATGAGTCATAAGTTATTTTTCAAAAGCTCAGGGTTGTTATCTAAGTGATATGTGATCAGGCAGAGTTTAAGTCAAGCGTCAAGTTTAAACTGCTTTTTACTGCTTGCGATTTTACTTTTTATCGGTTATTTCAAATTTGAAATACAGAAAAGTCGTTGTGCATGTCATCTCGGAAATTTTCAAACAAAATGTTGCGCAACATTTACCGGTTTTTAAGTTTTAAAAATCAAATTTTAAATTACTGTTAAAATATCAGAACAATTAATCAGTTCCGTACTTTTACACCTGACTACCAACTCTGTGATCAATTTTTTAAGGATATTGATGTTACTTTACCCCAAAATAACTAATTCAAGGTCTTTAAAAATATCGACATCGTCTTGAAAGTCTTCTACATCATCAGTCAATGTGCTATCCTGTAGCATACGCAAGATTCGATTGATTAGTGCTGTCTAAAATGATTTAATTGCATCATAATCCAAGCGGGATGTTATGAAAATGATGAAAAACTTACATCTTTGATTCCAGCTTGCTCAACAAAAAGCTTAAACTCATCGCAATTGTCTTGAACCTTATCATCCTTCCCATCAAAGTGATAGTATTGGAAGATACTAGCCAAAATTAATGCACAACTTAGGGTTTCATCGTCCGTAAATTCCCTAATCACTTCCATCTTTTTTTCAATCATATTTAAATTATGATAGTGACGATTTACGTACTGTTCCTCAATTCTCTTCTGCCAATCACTTAAGACATTATCAGAAATGCTTAATTTAAGCTTACAGACTGATTTAAATACTTCCATTTTTAATAATCGAATATATGATAAGAACAAGAATTTTATGACTGACTTTTCAGTTTCCCGACATGCGTAGTGCACATATTAAGGCACAGATCTAAATGTATTATGTATATTCTTTGTTTTCAAAGGAATCTATTGCGAACAACTTACATTTAATTTATTTTTGTTCTTTTTTCCTTTCCCTCTTCTCCGTCTCGTTATTCTTTTCTTACCTCCGTTGTTCTGTTGCTTCTCCTGCTTTACAGATCTTTTATTTTTCATTCTAGGCTAATTAACCTGCTGTATTTTAATCAATTTCAAGGGAATCTTGAAGAATAAAAATATAGCGCAAATAAATACGTACGTAAAATGACAAAATACGTAAGTAAAATTGTTAGCACACTTTATTAATGAGCAGATGCTTGCTTTTTGTCTGTCTGTATAATTTTAGCATTTTTTTAAATTACACAAAACCGTTAGAAATTAATTTTTTAAACTCCCAAAACACGATTTAACTAGTCTTTTATTACTATTTGTAGCCTCAAGAGCCCCATATTCCTCAAGAGTAAAGTTTTCCTTACTTGCTAATATTTTTCTGTTCAGCAAACAAGTTCGTTTTAACCCAGTTTCGTCAAATAAATTTCGGTTCAAATTTTAAGATTTTATAAATCCTTTAAAAAAATAATACTTTAGCTAAGTTTCAACAGGTTTATTGGTGTCTAAAATATCATTACAGTGATAATTATATCAAAATTTATCAAATCTTACCCCGGAAAGGCTGAATAAGTGCATAAATATGCAACAATAAAAATCACAACAACAAAAATTTTTTCGCAAAAATTTAAAAATATTAAATAGTCGTCTAGGAAACATTTAATTAAATTAATAACTGTATAAATGGAAGCAGAAAATCAAAGTCCATCGAAAAAGAGTCAAGACTCGAACGATTCTGATGAAAATCGTGAGAAAAAAGAAAATAATAATCTAGAGCAGGCAACATCATCTAAAAGCAACAATTTAGAGATTAAGGCAGTCACAAAGAGGCGAAATTATCGTCGTAGGACAGACGAGAGTAGTGATGACGAAGAGATGAATGAAGTAGAGCCAGAAAATCGAAATTTTGGTGCAAATATAGAGGAAAATAGTAATGTAAATGCTATTGCTGCTGACCTGAACGAGATTAATGAAGTAGCTCAAGATGAAGTGGCAATGAACAGTGATAACAATGATAGTGGGAACAATGAAGCCAGCAATCATGACAGGTAAGATTAAAAGTTTTCTATTCTGGATCTCATGTATTTGAACATCCAGACGTTACTAATAACTGCTTTCTTTCTCATATAAAGTCACGACACTTCAGACGATTCAGACTCGGATTTCAGCTTTACATCCCCACTTTCGCCATTACTCCGTTTTGGACTAGGAAGTCGCAGGATCTTTGGGTCACATAGTGACAGCTCTGATTCGATTGAGGATAATGAGGAGATTCGCGAGAAGGCGAATAAAACCACGACTGAAGTTATGAATAAGGAAACCCCATTACACAATAATTTTTCATGGCCTAATGTTCTTATGAATCGCGAAAAAGGCTTTTATTGTAAGCAGAACGAAGCTAGATACCTTAATCATCGTAAGAATTTTGAAAGGAACTTTTATGGATCATTAAATGCTGTCGAACGTTTAGAATTAATGAGTAAATTAAATGAGCACTTTGGATGCGTCAATTGTTTAGGATTTAGCAGGAATGGTCAATACTTATTATCAGGCAGTGATGATTTACGTGTTATTTTATGGAACTGGTATAATGGCAAGGCACTATCATCTGCAAATAGTAAGCACAAGAAGAATATCTTCCAGACTAAATTTTATGATGAATCTGACATTGTTATGAAGGCTGTAAGTGCATCAGCTGAAGGAAGTATCTCACTTCATCAATTTACTGGCGATGGGGGACATACCGAAAAGCAAGTCTATACTCATGCTGGTGCTGTGCATAAAATTGCCGTGTCTGAAGCACAGAATGTGATTTATTCATGCGGTGAGGACGGACTTATTATTGAATTTGATTATCGCTCAAAAAATCCCACAAAATTAACGACTGTACGCGAAAAACATAGAAAAATTCCACTTTTCAGCATCACGGCTCATCCTCACGAATATAAATATGCTGTAAGTGGACGTGATCAGTTTGTGAGAGTTTATGATAGACGTAATGCTAAGCAAGTGTTTACAAGACACTGTCCACAAGAGTTACTCGAAAGGAACACGACTGTCCGATACGTTTCATGCTGTGTCTATAATTATAATGGAACTGAATTGTTGGCTAGTTTTAATGATGAACATATCTATCTATTTGATTCCAACAACACGAGTTTGGGATCATTTGTACATAAATATCAAGGGCATGTGAATTCTGCAACTATTAAAGGTGTCAACTTCTATGGACCTCGTAGTGAATTCATTGTTACTGGGTATGATTTTTTGCTTCTATTTCTGTTCTAAGCTTGTTGCTTAATTTGTGGAATTTAATTTACAGCTCGGATTGCAGTCACATTTTCTTCTATGAGAAGCATAGCGAGTCGATTGTGCAATTTATGGAAGGTGATGAAAATGGAATAGTCAATGTCTTGGAACCACATCCAATTTATCCAGTTCTTGCGACTTCAGTAAGTTAAATTTTTTAATCCACTGGCTTAAATTAATAATCCACAAAAAAGTTCATTTGAATTTCATAAAACCGTTAAATTTTGAATATCACAAAACCGCTAAAATTTTACCTTTTTCTTCAATACTGCGCATTAAACACTTTTAGAGCCAAATAATTCACTCATAACATTGTAGCAATCAGTAATAATCAGTTGATTATTTTCTCATTCACAGGGATTAGATAAGGACATAAAAATTTGGATGCCATCCAATGACAGCTTCATACTAGACAAAGAAAATTTAAAGAAACGTGTCAACGAAAATGTTAAGAACATCTATGAGAGCAATCAGCATGCAACTTTTTCATTAGATCCAACAATAATTGAACTGGCTAGAAGATTTTTTCAACGTCATAGAGATCCTTCCGTTTCGCCAAATCCACTGGCTTTTGCTTATCCTAATTCGGATACGTCCGATGATTCAGATTAATTTGTTTGATGTAAAAATATATTAAAAGTTTAAAAAGTGTATCAAAGAAAATTAAATAATAAATTTTATGGATTTTTAGGAAACATTACCTGTTTTTTGAAATTTGAATTGCAGTAGAAAATTACTTAATGTAACAATCCGTGTCAATGATAATTCCAAAAAAATCAGTTAAAAACAAGAAACTCTTGTGAAATTAAAACTTAATCATTAAAAACACTTAATCAACATACAAAAATGCCAGTAACAACACGTTCAAAGCGTAAAACAGTAGATATGGGTGAGCTAGAAGTGATTCCAAAAAAGAAGTACATAAAATTAGTCGATATAACAAACAAAAAGGATAAAAGCCAAATTAAGCATGACAAAAGTCAAATAACCAGTCAAAAGAGTGACAGCGTGCTGTATACACTTAAACCAATGTTTTCTGATGTATCAGATGTTAAGCCAACAAGTACTAGCCGCTTGTCAGCAGTTTCGAATAGAATCCAGGAGTTTCCAACAACATCTTCCCAAACAAATATTGAGGAAGCTTTAAAAATTATGAAAAGGGTCAAGGCAGCACTTAAGAAAGGATACAGCAATGTTGCAGAGCGTCTTCAGCTGGATGTAGTTCCTGACTGCCTTTTTGATATCTCAAAATGTCACCAAAATCATAATTCAGAAAAATTGCCGCGAAAAGCACCAATTGAGAATTCCTTTGTTACAAAACTGTATCTCACAGAAGAACGTCACTTCCAATTTTGTCATCATGTCCGTCGAAATATAGTTGCTAGCAAGTTAAATCCTGGATCTGATGTTTGCTTGAGTATAATCCAGGAGATTATGGTAAGTCACAGATCATTTTTACACGTTTGGGATTATAACTTTGCTGAATTTAAAAGCACTCGATTGAGTTAATTTTATTAAATTTTCTCATTTCAGAAATTTAAATCCAAAGACGCTCAGTATTCCACAAATTTTGTTTTATCAGAACTACACAATATATTTATCACAATACTCAACACATTCCCACCTTGTCACATACAAGACTCATACCTACGACTATTTACTTCACAAATTAAAATCGAAGGATTACCTGAAAAGAAGCAGATTTTATCAACAGTATTTGATCTCATACACGACCTTATTTATATTAATGATAATGCTAAGCTTGATGAATCAATTAAGATCGATTTCAATAAGAACTTCTATATGTGGGACTTAGAGCATAGTGAAAACACATCATTTTCTAAATTATCACGTAATGATCGTTTCCATAGAGTTTTTATGGCACTAGATTTACTTGTTCGTGTTTTAGAATATGATACAGCAATGTTTGTTACTAAATATCCACAAAAATTTGCATCGACGATTAATAAGAAGCAAAAAAGACCTTTGCTATGCTCGATAATATGGAATCAATATGATAGCTTAATGGCTATCAATGCTACAGTAAAGAATATCATCTCAACATTTGTAGCCATGACAGCTCTCAAATATCCAGTAGACAAAATCAGAATAATATCAAGGCTCCTTAATCTCATCACTAATGTTATAAACATGTACGAATATCCAGAAGACAACATTCAATATCCAATTTATAAGACTTACACAACAAATTTAGTCAATGAGATTCAAAAGACAGTCGAAAGTTCATCTTACTACTCAATGGAGCTTTACATTAATGTTATTGAGAATATAAGATCACCGATGATTCGGATGTTGCTTGCCAATCAGCTGTACTCAAAAATTATTGGACAGACCTTACCAATTTCTCTCAATACACCCTTTAAAACTATGCTTAATCGTGACTTTCAAAAATTTTCAAAATCCACAAAAGTTCTGGAGGAACTGAAAAAGGACGAGACATATCCAAGATTTGACGCTAAGAAAATAGCCAAAAAATGTAGAGTAACGCAGGATGACTTTATTAAATTAATGATGCTTTATTCTGATGCTGTGATTAAGAATTTCCACTTACTTGACGTCATGAATGAGATTAAAAGGACGAGACAATGCTCAACAGACGTTGAAATGAAGCATCAGCCGACCAGTTCCGAGTTTGCAGACTTTAAAAAGCGACTGGAGAGCATTGATCTAAATGAGAAAGTTAATCTACGGTCTGTAGACTTAAATGCACAAAATTTTGTCCAAATTCGACTGACTAAGGATAATTGCACTTTTTATCGCAACGAAGTTAAGAACGTTCAGATCATGATCAAATTGATTAAGAAATGTCATCAAAGGTTTGACTCGCAATTTGATGAATGGGCTCGAATGATGGATGAAATGCAGCATAAAATCTAACATTATTGGACTCACACTTTAAACTCTTTAATTTATAATTATTATTTTTTTGTTGTTGCCAAAGACAGTACTTAATAGTTTTATAAGAAGTTAATAGATGTAAGAAGAATATTAAATAAATAAAAAATTACAGAAGCTATATTTGAGGAAATATTTTATAATTTCATTATTTTTCAATTATTGGTTTGAACAAATAAATTACAGGTGGTTCCCGATGATTAAACAAACTTCGCTGATGTATTTTCTAACAGAGTTGCGAAACAGGTCACCTGTGACAGGTGAGAACCTTTCAATTTCTTGATAACTTGTATGGTTTTGTTAGAAAAACCTTATAAATTATTAAGGAATTGTAGGGTTCTCACCTGTCACAGGTGCCTGTTTCGCAGCTCTGTTTTCTAATTTGAAATAATTTTTGAATTTAAATTTTGAAAGAAACATTTGAATGGTTTTTCGACACTCGAGTTTTAAAACATTTGAATAGTTTTAACAGCAGAATTTATAACATTTGTTTGGTTCTCATTTTAAAAAATCAAGCTTTTTTTATTTTCAAACATTTGTATAGTTTTCAAACATTTGAACAAACAATTGTATGGTTTTAATTTTAAAACCAAAAACTTTTATATAGCTTTCAGATTTCCGTTACATTTCAAACTTTTTAATGAAATTTTTTGCTTAAAAATTCAAATTAAAAATGTTCGTTAAAAAAGGAACTTCAATAATTCTCAAAATGCCTCAATAATCCTGACAAAAGTGACTCAAAACACTTCAAACTATAATTAACATTCATTAAGATATCCATCTAAATTACTGTCTATCAATATCCATTAAAATTGATATTGAATGTTTCCATTCAACTTTAAGTTTCTGCTTGAAAACATTTCTGAAGACATAAAATAATATTAAATCGATTATTAACGCACTTTTTAGAGCACAGAAAAGTTACTCATGAGTAAAATAAAAATGCAAAAAATCATAATCGATAGAATTGCAAAATGACAAAATTATTAATTTGACGCATTATTTAACACTACTGACTACAACATCACCAAACCGCAAATACTCTTTTTTTATGCATTAATGTAATGTGCATTTACTGCAAATTTGTTCACAAACGATGCAATTTAAGCTATCATCAAATTATAATCTAATCCAATACATAAGATAATCAGCAGGTTTGTAGCTTAAAAATTACTGCGGTGAATTCACTCACATGTTGCGGTATTTTAATTTCTTGTTTCCCGGCATTTTTCTTGCTGATTAACAACTTTGATTTTTTGTGCACTTGTGTATTGATATCAGGGGTGGTCGTCGTGTATTTGAATTGAAATTAAAGGCATCAATAAATCTCAATTTTAAAAATCATCTAGGAATGAAGTTCATTGTGTTCCAGAAGAAGCAGTCAATGTCTGTCAAAGAAGCAGATAACATTAATCTTCAATATACTAGCAAAATGGATCATTAATTTGTCTTGGAGTGGAGTACACTTCAAATTTGGCGTCAAAAACTAGATTCTTCAACTATTTATTGTAGAATGTTTAGGGGTCGTTCACTTATGACGTCCGAAATTAACGGTCACATATTTCAAACAATAGCGTCATTTCCTGATAGGGGCAATTCTTTGGATAACTTTTGGAAAATTTTCAGCAAAAAATCGAAATTTTATTGATTTTTCCCATCAGAGACACTGATTTTATGATTATTATCGATGTAAAAATCTAAAATGTACACTACTACTGATATCATATACTTCTAGTCGCTGTATTAATTAAGTTATTTGGATTCTTTAGTCAATAACTCGATGACAGAAATCGGAATTTTTAATTTTCATCATCCGAAGAATCGAAAATTAGAGAAAACTATAGATATCCACATTGAATAACCTTTACTGAGTTATAGCACAGACAAAAATCTTTAATTAGGTTGCTTTTCTGTGTGGTTTAAGTCATTAATTAATGAAATATTTCAATTCTTTGAAAAATTTCCTTGTGTCATCGAGTTATAAAAAAGCCTTTTTTTGTCTTAATCCGTGAAAAAATACAAAATTTTCAAACATATTTTTTCAATTTTTCACTTAATTTAGGTGAGTTGTAACATTTCAATAGATCACTTTTAAAGAATTAATTATGCTTTATGATCTCCGAAAGTTCTGTCTTATTATTCCTTCACAGTAATATGAATTTAAAGAAAAAAATTTATTGACACAAAACTCATTGACATTGGATTATGAAAGCTCTTTTTTTTAAATTCCACTCATCCAAAGAATTGCCTATAGGAAAATGCGCTAAAAAGAATAATGAATTCCTAGGAATTTCTATTGTTTTTTTTCTTGCTGAACCCCCCCCCCCCCCCCTGGACGTCATAAGTGAACGGCCCCTTAAGAAATTGATGGAAAATTAATTATTTTGATCCTAGCTTCTTATTGGGACATGTCCAATGAGAATAATGACTAAAATTAGTCATTTAATGTTTAACTAGCTTTTTGAAACCCTAATGAATCTTTATAAGTTGTTAATGCGTGCGTAGTCTAGCAACTAATGACAACTTCAATTAACAGAAGAAAGAAGCCACATGGGCAACACCAACTCTGAATCCAACAACAACAATAAGGAAAAAAGGTATTAAAGAAATTTAATTAACTTTATTTTTCGAACCAAGAAGTAAGTAGCTTTTTTGATGAAAAGAAAGAAAAAGAAGAAAAAAAATAAGTGATTTTTATTTTTAATTTTCGTAGAAATGTTGGGGTGTTGAATAATTTCTTTTGTGGCTATAAATAACGTGCATTATCAGTTATTGAGCATTAGTTGAGTTTTGGATTTTTAAGTTTGAGCATTTCATGAAATTACCAATTATGGCATTTATTAAAGTAAATATTAATTTTAATAGTCTGGATTTTCTGTAGCCTTAAAAAAACTTTCAATTTCTTTAGATTTTCACAATTATTGCCATAACATCACTGGTCAGTGCTGAGTATGATGATGATGGTCATTCAGTTGGATATAGTTATGCAAAGTTTAGTGGACCTGTCAGTGGTATGTCAAGACAAAATCGGATGTAACTTGAACCGCCTTTATTAATTGTAACAATTTCCCATCCATAGGTCCAGCAAAGGAAGTTGTAACGCATGATAAACATCATGGAACTTCCATTGACTATGTCGCAAAGCCAGATTATCAATTCGAGTACGGAGTTGAAGATCCAAAATCACACGTTTCACAGTTCCGTAAAGAGAATCGACATGACGACGCAGTTGTTGGTGAATATAGCTACACAGATCCACTCGGTCATGTGCGACTTGTTAAATATACAGCAGATAAGATTCATGGTTTCCGTGCTGAAATTTATGTTGATGGAAAATTAGAACAACCTCATGGAGCTCAAGCAGTTCCACAAGAAAATCATCATTATCATCCACAACATCAGCAGACAAGAGATTATGATTCACATGATGAGGTAAAGGAGGTTAGTGAAGATGAAGAAGGAGGTGATTACGATAGCAGTGAATATTAAGTGACTTAGAATGATCAAATTTAGTGCTATTATACCTCATTATTATTGGAATTATCAACATAGACTATAAACGACGATTTTAAAATTAGATGTTAAGTTAGTTTAACCAAAGAACTGCTTTTTGTAAGGAGGAATAAGAGGTGTATCGTGGTTTGAACGGCCAATTGCATTATGAACAGCTTAAGATGCTCATTGAAGATTTAAGAAAAAGGAATCAATGTTAGTTGGATAAACTCTTAAGTTCTGGGAAAATAGAGGCTGTAGACATTAATTGCTAGATATATCAACTTCTTAAGTCATCTTGTAGAAAACCCTGGGAAAACAACTTAGGGGTCGTTCACTTATGACGTCCGAAATTAACGGTCATTTTTTAAAAAAGAACAATGAATTTTCAGGAATTTCTATTGTTCTTTTCTTGCTGACCCCCCCCCCCCCCCTTAATTTCAAAGAATTTCGATCACTTTTTCATTCCAATCCAATTCTGAATATAAATTTTGTCCTTACCAATTAATGCAAGATTTGCTACAGAACGGATGTTTATGCAATCATCAATTTAAAGATTGAACACATCCCGAGCAGTACATTATAGCAATGGCAATCATTTGGTTGCCTCAAACTCAGATATTCCTCTTCGATATTCTCCAAATAGAAGTAATTTATAAAGCTACATTGACAAATAAGCTAATATCCAATAGTTCTAAACTACCCAAGACATATTAATTAACCATTATTGACGACATAGACTGATTTATTATACATTTTATTAGCTGACCAAAAAAGCTAATCCACTACACATATTTTTAACAGCATCATTAAATAGATAACCTTAAAGTGTCAAACATGTCATATCAATAGAAACTATTCAGTATCAAGATATGATTGGTCATGTAATATTCACATAATTCCTACTCATTATTTGTGATATTTTTTGATAGTTTAATTATGTAAAAGATATTGTAATAATTGGAAAAATTTATGAATAAATTACAATTTTTAATATCAATTGTTATTGTTCGTGCGATATAAAGCATGCTGTATTTACTTCATTAACCATGAAGACATGCCAATTACTGGAAATAAAAAGTGTTGGTTAATTGAAAAAAAAAAGTTTCTTCAAAATCAAAACTGTAAAAATTATCAGCAATAAAAATTGTTTTTTACACTCACTTCCGATAATTTGATCATCCATGCGAAGTAGTAAATGTTGACCAAGAAACCCGAAACAATTATGACAAAATGCATTGAACTTAGACTACTTTTTTGATGGACCGTGAAAAATAAATAAGAAGGTATTTGGAAATTGAATAAATTAATCTAGTCTTTGTTCTTTAACACTTTTACGTTAAAAGGAGAAAGGTACACAAAATTCAAGGTGTACGGAACTTAAATAAGGTGAGGGGAATCAATAAAAAATGACAAATTTGCAAAAAAGAACTCTACAAATATACAGTAGTACTTAAATTTTTTGAATAAATCGGAACTGGGATCGAACCAAAGACTTCTTGCACAAAACGACAAAATTTTACTATTTAGACCACTAAAGCATTTTCCTTTTGTATTTAGATTTAGCAAAACTCAAATATAATCTTCATTCCTTCGTGTAAATCCCTTGAGATTGGCTGGGCATGTATTCAGACGCTCACAAGATGCCCCAGTACTAAAAGTTACAGTAGCAGACTTTATGAATTGCAAGAGATCACGAGGAAGACCGAAGATCTCTTGGATTAGATTTGTTTAAAAGGACGCTAGAATCCTTAATATCCCGAACTGGCAGAAGGTTTCTAAGGTTTATAGAACAGATCTTTAAGCGCGGCAATGAACCCACGTGCGCCCCAGTCAAGGAAGTAAATAAGTAAATATAATCTTTGAGGAAAATATCCCAACCGGTTAAAACCTTCTTGAAAATCTCTGGTAAGTCATCAGTACCAAACTTCTGAAACCATCAACATCCATCTACATGCGTGCATCATAATTCCATCAAAACTTATGACTAGAAAATTTCATATTTGGACAATTTGCTTCATCTATGTCACAACCAATAATTGACAAGAGTATTTCGTGTCACTGACTTTATGCTTCATGGATACAAAAAAGCTATTTTACCGACTTATATAGACTTTTTTTTTTTAATTTTTTGAACCCTAAAATGACTCAAGGACATCAGCAGATCTCATTTTGTGAGTCTATTTAGTCCAAAGATAAAGTTTTTTAAATCATTTGTTAATTGATATAATTAAAATTTCACTCAATGACTCCTTTTATGGCTTTATTGAGCAACATGACTGCATTAATGAATTGAATTTTTCAGCTTTGATGAGATTTGTAATTTAACAAGTGTCAAAACTTTTCATTGTCGCTGCATTTTGTATTGAAATCTATGGATTTACTAAATTACTCTTTCGTCTGCAATCTAGGTATTTATCGAAAAAAAGATAAATGAGTTTTGCACAATCGACGACATTCGCACTTTATATCTTTTTAATTATTGACCTAAAACCGCTTGTCTATGCCTGTATTAAGGTAAAATCGATGAAGTAATTCGAGGTTTAAAAGATATTGAAAAAATGTTTCGTTTTTACTGAGGAACTGACCTATGATACTTAAATTGGATTTTATTGACTCTGTGGCTTAGCTAAAGACAGTTAACAGAAGATCCAGGAGCAGAATTCTAAGAACTTAAGTCAATAAATTCCAAATGTGATAGAATAAAGTCATTTCATGTGGATTACATATGATTGCCTTTGTGTTGCTCATGAAAATATCATTCGGCATTGACTTCACTCCAAACATAATTTTAAGACATCTCAAAATCCAAAACCTCAATTAAATTACAACAAAAATTACAATTTAATCTCCTTACAAGCGATCAAGATCAAAAATTCATTGAATCTCTCGGAAGTAGCATTTAATGTTACACAAAATTGAAAGACTTCCATAATCTTCATACAAGGAAGTTCATCATTGAACTTTAACAATGAACAAATGAACGCATTATCCAGATAACCATCTAATTAGCATCTAAATCTTACAGATCAATGAAAATCCAGTTTCCAAATGAATATCAACTTCTTTTACTATTCAAACATGTAATTTCATTTAATTCAGACTTCATTTATTTTAATGTCCATCCAATTATGGATTTAGTCAATTGAAAATTGCTAGTCGATCTGTCAAGTCGAAGTTGTACTTTTTGACAATAATAAACATGCATACACAACCGTGATGACGAAAAGAGAGGCAATGAAAGACATCAAAATTATTTCAAGGTGACTACAACTTAAAAAGAGTCAGCACGCAGGTCTCTTACACATTTTAGATGTTGCGGCAATGCAACTTACTTGATATATAAAACTAGTAATGTCTTTTTTATTACCTGTGGCTTTCTTCTCCATTAATTAATAAGATTTCAAATGACACATGCAGTTAAGTGGGTATGGTGAGGAAAGAAAATGCAGCAACAAGTTTGATTGACTCTAATGATCACTCATTCATCATCGTACGGTGCAGACTCAATTTTACCCATTATAACTTGATGAGTATCATCATTCAATAGCTTCTATTTATGCAATAAGATGCACAATACAACAGAAATAACAATGTGCAGTGACACTTTGTTAATTGATTTTTGTGATTCCATAGAAAAGTGAGCTTTAATTGCTTTCAGTTCTTGTAAAAAAGCTTACAGTCCTTCCACAAAGCTGATAAATCCTTCCAAAAAGCTCATCAATCCTTTCAAAATTCAAACAATCCTTCCCAAAAACTCACACATTTTAACAAAGTTAACCTCATTTCTAAAAGCTCATAGCTGTCGCAAAAAGTTCATAGTCCTCTCAACAACCTCATAAACCTTCCAAAAAGCTCATAATCCTTTCAAAAAATTTCTCAAACTTTCAAAATAATCCAACTCATTTCTAAAAGCTCATCAGTCATTTTAAAAAGTTTATAGTCCTTCCAAAAAACTCGCAAAGCTTCCAAAAAGCTCACAATCCTTTCAAAAAAGCTCCCAAACTTTCAAAATACTCCAACTCCTTCCAAAAAGCTCATAAACCTTCCAAAAAGCTCATTAACCTTCCAAAAAAGCTCGCAAAGCTTCCAAAAGAATCTTCCAGTACTATTTCAAAAACCTCAATATTCCATGGAATTTCCCATTTTATAAATTGCACAAATATTGTTTTCATATTAATGCTAAACTCTGCAAGTGAGTTTTCATTCCAAACTGAGTAAGAGGATAGTAAGTTATCAATTTATCCATAATATTAACGATGATGATGATCCGAATGAAGAAACTTAAATTGCATCGATGATTATATAAAAATTAATTGGAATTTTAATTTAATTATCATACTTTAAATGCTTCTGCAGACATTCAAAGTCTCATTTTTCTTCTCTCTCATCTAGAATTGCTTAATCCTCTACGTTGAGTCATTTAAGTTGGTAATTTATTCTGTGATAATTTCTTAAGTGCATTCATTTACACAATATGAGATCAATTAAGTGTTAAAAGGTTCATTTTGATTAAGTTAATTATTGAAAACAAATAGTAAATGATTATTAGTTATGACCTAGTTTGGTTGATCATTTGTAGCTGATCTGGTTGATTTTTAGCTGAATAGACATTATAAGATGTAGCTTTAGGGTGGCATTGTGTGATTGGTTAGTCTATTATTCAATTTTGGAGGTTCGAAACCTTCCTTAGGCACTAATAGCTATAAATTGTTGCTTGATCCACATTCAATGAGTCCAAAAATAAAATTTATTACAATAACGACAGTTCATTCAATTCCATGCAATAAATATTCAAAATAAACCACAAAAGCCCCAAAATTCGCACATAATAAAAGCCACAAATATAAAGAGTTTAACCACAAACACCATCAATTACCTGCCTCATTTAGTTCACACGTTGTACCTCATAAATATCTGTACGTGAAGAAAGACGTTAAAGTTATCATGCCACGCGCATAATGTGATGAAGAAGAAACATTATTTTTTTTCTGTCTTCTTTTACTCATTTCATGCAGT